GCAGGACAGACACAGTGGACTCCCCATGGCCGCCCTGCAGGACAGACAGACAGAGTGGACTCCCCATGGCCGCCCTGCAAGACAGACAGACAGAGTGGACTCCCATGGCCACCCTGCAGGACAGACAGACAGAGTGGACTCCCCATGGCCACCCTGCAGGACAGACAGACAGAGCGGACTCCCCATGGCCGCCCTGCAGGACAGACAGACAGAGTGGAACTGCCCGTCATGTCTCCGTGTGGCACTCTGTGCAGCAGCGGGTGGTCCTCCTTCCTGGTAGCGGCCAGTGGGCTCAGACCACTGAGCTTTCAGTTATGGGCCGAGTGCTTAACTGCTGCGTCACTAGGGTCCCCCTAACAGAGAGAAAGACCAGAGCCGCCCCGCGGTTGCTCACAGGGACCCGGTGGGATTTCGGACCTGAGGATCGGAGGCTGAGTTTGAACAGCCGACCTTCCACTTGGCCCATTCAGCGAGGGCTTTAACTGCTGTGCCGTGCTGAGTGGGGATCGCCTCGCTGGCAGTGGGTTTGGTGTGGGTGTTTGGGAAGCACTGTCCCCTGGGCACTCTTCAGGTCCTTTCCTGCCCACGCCCTGTTGTCTAAGTTGCACACTGCACAGGCTTCGTGGGTGTAGGAGTTCGGGTCCATTTTCCTCCCTGCCTGGTCCCCAAGTCTGGAGCAGGCACGTAGCTGGTAAATACTTGTCAGCTGAGACTTCTGCAGGCCCCAGGGAAGTGGGGCTTCTGGGAAGGAACAGGCTCAGCCTGACGCCTGCCACATCCCTGCAGGGCGGAGCCCGCACTGACCAGGGTCCGCGAGGACCGGCGGCGCATTGTCCTGCCGTCCATCGACAACATCAAGTACAACACGTTCGAGGTGCAGCAGTACGCCAACGCAGCCCACGGCTACAACTGGGGGCTCTGGTGCATGTACATCATCCCACCCCAGGACTGGCTGGACCACGGGGACGAGTCTGCGCCCATCAGGTGAGCCTCTCTAGCAGGGCGGGCTGGAGGCCGTGGCCAGGTGGGCTGGGGATGAGCCTGAGAGAGGGGAAGAGACAGGGGCAGAAGGGGAGGGAGACAGAGATGGGCAAAGGGAGAGAGGGAGACAGGGACAGGGTGGGGGTGGGGGTGGGAAAGACAGGCAGAGAAGCGTAGAAAGTTGGTGAGCAAACGGAGGGAAGAGACAGAAAGGTGGGAGAAAGGGGATGGGGGGTTAGAGAGATCAGGGGAGAAGGAAAAAGAGAGACGGAGAGGCGAAGAGGAAGAGAGAGAATGAGAGGGGGAGATATGGGGGAGGGGTGCACAGAGAGGGGGAGAAAGAGAAAGAAACCTAGAGACAGAAACAGTGAGAGAGGGGAAGAGAGGCAGATGCGATGGTATGGAGGAGGGGGAGATGGGGAGAGCCACCGAGGGGAAGAGGAGACAGAGAGAGGAGGAGGAAGGAAGAGAGGCTGACGGGAAAACAGAAACAGACGGAGGATGAGAGAGGGGAGGCAGAGCACAGACAGGGGTGGGTGCAGTGAGCAGGGGCCGCCACAGGACAGCACGCGTGGGCAAAGGTGAGGACGGTGACTCAGGGACAGAGCCCAGCTCGCTGACCCACCTGCTGGTCCCCAGAGGCGTCTGTTCACATTTTGAGTCAGTTCTCCTGTGGTCGGTGCCAGGCTGTCAGGGGCATTGACGGACTGAGAAGCAGCCCCTCTGTCCCAGGCTGCAGTCACCTCACCCCTGCCGCCTGTTTCCCAGCAGCAGGGTCAGCCTTGCACTGCCCTTTCCACTCCAGCTGCCTTTGCTGGCTCCCCGCCCTGAATGGCACCTCGGACAGGCATTGCCCTCCCTCCACCCGCATTGCCCTCCCTCCACCCACGCTTCTCCAATAACCTTAGGGCCCTCCTTGTTCTCCTGGGGACCCAACAAGGAAGAGGTCTCCCCCAGGTAGAGGTCTCCCTGGGAGTAGAGGCCTCCCTGGGGGAAGAGGTCTCCCTGGGAGTAGAGGTCTCCCTGGGGGTAGAGG